CAGACCGACGTCCCCCCCGGAGCGCGAAGCCTGCGCGTCCCCGGCCGCGGACGGGGGAGGGGCGCGGGCGCGCGGGCTGCCTCAGAGCCGCCCTGCTGACTGCTCTGTCTGAAATGTCTCATTGCAAACTCTGTTTCAGGCGTATGCCAAGTTTTCTGGCGCACCCTTGAAAGTCAATGTCATAGATAACACCTGGAGAGGTCCAAGAGGTACAGTATAAGCTTCCACACGCCCCTGTCTGCCCTTATGACACTGGCATCCCCTCTTGCGTTTAAAGCCGTGGGTATCTAGAGTTTTAGCTTCTTAGAATGACCTTGGCTGTGGGCTGGTTGCTTGCTCTGAGTAATAACTCAAAATGCAAGCCCAGTCTGTGGAAAATAGGAGAAACAAAAATGTTCCCTAGACCTGCTCCTTGTGAAATTGCAAAGAAAAGGCAAACGTTCTTACAGGCGATCTCCCATGTGCACTTGGTCTAGTTTGTAAGTATTGTAAACTTCAGAATCGATCACCGTGTTTGCTTGTGTGTAAACTATTTTTGGTTATAGGTGATGTGCCAATTTTGATGACTGAAGACAGCGTTGTCTCTCAGCCTGCAAAAATACTAAACTTTTTAAGAAAACAGGTGGGTGGCGCCTTTTGAAGAAGTAGATCGTTTTCTGCTTGTTACCCTATTATTGTTTTAGACTGGGCTATACTCTAGTGTACCCTGACCAGCCAGGCTGGCATCAAATGCTAGGATTTATAGGTGTCACCCATCAAACCTGGCATCCTGTATGGCTTTTTGTTTGTTTTTGGTTTGGATTTTGGTTTTTAGAGACAGGGTTTCTCTGTATATCCCTTGTCCTTGGGATGCTCTCTGACCTCTGAAAGATTTTGTCTTGGTTTTGATTAGAAATATAATGCTGACTGTGAACTCTCAGCAAAACAAGGGGCAGACACCCTGGCTTATATCGCCCTCCTGGAAGAGAAGCTTCTCCCTGCCGTGGTGAGTGTCTCTGAATACAGCGGTGTCGTAGGGACTAGTGAGTCTTAAAGATAACTTTCCCATATGAGTCTTGATCTTTTATATTATGACAAAACTGGATTCTCTTAGACATTTAGCTTCCCATTGAAGTGAATAGTTTGGTTTGCTTGTTTGCTTGCTTGGCTAGGGAAATGTTCTACCACTGAATTCCACTCCGGCACAATCATACTGTTTTTGAAATAAACACTACCAATGGAAGACGAAACTTTGCTGCATGTGTAGAATTGGCTATACTGTAGTTCTTTCATTTAGTGGATATTTACTGAGCCCTCAGTATGCACTAGGCTCTATTCTTGCTGCTGAGATATAGCAGTCAACAAAATTCATGTGTTTGAAATAATCTCATTTCACCTTGAGTCATTGTATCTGAAAAATTTAAACGGAGGTACTTTCTTGAAGGACACTTGTGAAGAAACTGTCAGACTGACGAGTGGTGCTCATTTTAGCAGGAGAACATCCCTGTAATTGTTTTGCCTTCCTTTGGCAGCTTCACACTTTCTGGGTTGAGAATGACAATTATTTTGCTGTGACAAAGCCATGGTTTGCCTCCCGTATCCCTTTCCCTCTGAGTTTAATCCTGCCTGGAAGGATGTCTAGAGGCGCACTGAATAGGATCCTCTTGACACGGGGAGAGCCGCCCCTCTACCACATCCAGGAAGTAGAAGCGCAGGTACTGGGGTCTCCCAGCAAGGGCTCCCAGGAAGGGAGGAGGGAGGGGACTGGTCCTTACGTAGAGATGCTACCTCAAAGGCTCCTTCATCCTTCTTAGATATACAGAGATGCCAAGGAGTGCCTCAACCTCCTGTCAAACAGATTGGGAACATCTCAGTTCTTCTTTGGTGACATGTGAGTAAATTCCCTTAAAACTCGCTTGGCCATAGCTGCCTTTTTAATGTTTCCTGTGGTATATTTGAAAAGTGCTTGATTTATGGCTTTCTCTGTCCCGTTACTACAAATACGTCATGAAACTGCTGCCTTGGTAGGAAACACTATTTTGAGTGACCTAAATCTCGATCCCCGGGCCATGAACACTCATGTTTGACTCCAGAATAAGCTAGCTCTTATCCCTTAAGAAGAAGAAGAAGAAAGGCCCTATGGGTCTGCTACAGAAAATGAGCGCCCCACCCCAGTAGCCCCTGGGCTTCCTCCTCCCAACGGGCCATCCAGGCCATGCCCCTGTTGCCCACTGCCCTGGTCATGAAGCCGTGGCCCCTGCCATGCTCTTCTTGGTGAACACCCTGAAGGAAGCCACCCAGCAGTTCCTCAGTCCCCAGGCTGGTGGTCGGTTTTGGGTTTGTGTGGTCCGTTGATACTTATTTAACGCATAAATATAATTTATCATTTTTATCGTGTAAACAAGAGTTGTTTCGATATGTTGCCTTGTATATTCAGTGAAATGTGAGTTAAAGCCAGTTTTCCCATCCCCCAGAAGATGGGTTTTTCCCTTCAGAAGGGCACCTGGGGGTAGAGCTGATTGGCAGAGCCCTCAAACAGCACACATAAGACCCCAGGTTCAGTCTTTGGCCGGGATTTACTGGGCTTTTATAGGAAAACTTTTCTGTTGGTATTAATCCTCCATTAGCTTAATGTGCTGCATATGGCTGTAAAAGCATCGAGCATTCCTCCACCCGGCTTCCAGTCCATAACTTTTGTAGCGTACAACCTCAATTTCCTCTGAGTAAAATAAATGGCTAGAATATTTTTAAAACTACTTAGAAGATAAAACACTGGCCGCCTCCCTTCTGGAATCAAAAATGGGAGCAAGCCATTCAAAACATGATGTTGCCTATTAGACGTGACAGATAGTTTGAAGAACATTTTAAAAACTACAGTCCAAGTCAGTCTGCCCTTAAGCGCTCCTGACAGAGTCCTCCGTCTCCAGGCCTTCCACCTTGGACGCCTACGTGTTTGGTTTCCTCGCACCTCTGTATAAAGTGCGTTTTCCCAAAGTTCACTTACAAGAGCATCTGAAACAGCTCTCTAATCTCTGCCGCCTGTGTGACGACATCCTGGACATCTACTTCAGACATGGGCCCGCGGGTGAGTCGGCGTTAGCTAGTGTGGACTCCGCACAGAAGAGCTCGTTTGCGCGTTGTCTTAGACTCTGGTTCATAGCTCAAGACCTGGTGGTTTGCCTGCTACATCTGCTGCCATGTTCTTACATACATGGAGAAAGAGCCATTTGACCCCCGCCCCCCATCCTCTGGACTTCACACATTGTGTGTATCTTCTTTATAAGTATTGCCCCCCAAAGTGGGTCACTTTCTTCTAAAGGATTAAAGCGTGTGTGCTGAGTCCCTGCTGAAAGTAGTGTTTACCCCCATCAAATGGGCGGTCACTCTACATGATTCTCAACCTGCTGCTTCCAGCACTCTCCCCCTGAACAGAAATCAGCAGCAGATTGACTTTGGTGAGGTCACCCCCATGATTCTACTACTTGAAAATGATTGCACCAAACTGGAGATAGAGTAAGTAGAGGGCTCTTGGCACTTAGGATGGCGTTCTCTCTGACTGGGGGCCTTGCGCTTAGGGGACCGGGCACTGAGTGTGTATATGTAGAGGTGGCTGCAGTGTTTGTCCTTCTGAGAAACAGAAGTTGTGAGATAGCAGGCTTCAACAGACTGGCTATTTTTTATTTTTATTTTATTTATTTTTTACGGAGGATTCTCTGCTTTACATATAGGGAAGTCTAGAAAATGGGAAGTTAGGGAACTAAGTGGCATCTGACCTTGATGCTCTGGGGCAGTGGCTAGCCAGCCTGGCTCCACAGCTCTTCCATAGTTGCCAAATTAAAATGTCTTGGGATCAATCCCAGAAAGCTCTGCTTTTAAAAATTCCTTTCAATATCTTGGATGCCTGGTGAGTAGGTGTTAGGGAATCGCTACCTTAGCAAGATGTCTATAGTGTTACAACCAGTGACCTACGTGTAGTGACTAGGGAGAGGGCACTGTAGTCTGGAGAGCACCGCGCCTTCACTAACCCCTGTAGCTGCCTGCATGTCATGTGGCTCGGTGTCTTCCAAGAGCACAGTTCAGTGTTTTCCTTTCTGCTTTCCTATGGAGCACTGCTGTCCCTCTTAACTTTGCCCTTGAACCCATAATATTTTTCATTTTCAGTTTTCTTTTGGGGGGAGGGGGAGCAATTAGGATTGTGGGTAAACTGAATTTTTTTTTCCAATCTTCAACAGCTTGAAAGTCTTTCCAAGTTTGGTTTCTCTCCCTGATTTCTCTCCTGACTTCTCAGGCATCTCTCCAGCTGGACAAGAAATGATAGATGCGAACCTGCGGAAACTCACACAACTTGTAAATAAGGAATCCAACTTAATTGAAAAGGTCGCGTTCCTTCATCATCGCTTTCCTGTCTGTTTTCTGGGTTGTGTGTTCACTTAACACTCTTAGTTTTAAAGAGTTTATTTTTCAAGAGGCTGTTTATATATACTTGGAGTGGAGATTTGTTTAATGTGATGTTTTAAAGCCAGCACTGGCCTGATTGTACTGAGGGAAGTTTGAGTAATTGTGTTGGGCCTGCCTTTTATTGTATAGTTTGCACTTACCAAGTTGGGTGACATAAAAATTACCTTTAAAGACGGCAAATCAGAAGCAAGCCTTGCTTGCTGTCCTGAAGTCACTCTGTAGGGTCTAAGCACCCATGTTTTCTCTTCCTTATCAGTAATGTCTTTTTCTTCCTCCCTCATGTCCCTCCTTTCTTCTTGTTCTTCTCGGTCCTGAATGTGGTCTACGGCATCTTCACCATTCAGTCCTTTGTCACTTTGGAGATTCTCCATGTGTGAGAGACCATGAGGGAGTAGGTAGAGGAGAGAGCCAACCAGGGCGGATTTGAGGAGGACTCTAATTGGAAGCATGTGAAAGGGCCGTGCCGATTCTCCCCTAGTGTGAGATAGACTCGCTTGCTTTCACATGCACCGAGGTAGAAGGGTTCATAGGAGTTAGCAAGCCTTCTAGAGCTCTGTGTGTAGATGCTCTTGTCCTGTTTCATGGGTGTGGTGGTGCGAGCAGTTTCATCGTCTGCCCAGAGTCTTCTCGCTGAAGAGGATAGGGAGGAGACTTACACTGTAGACGTGGGGACACTAGGCGCCAGCAGTGTTGCGGTTCATTGTTTTTTCCCGTAGGCAGCTGCTCAGCTTCTAAGTGAGGTTGTATGTCTGTCGTGAAGAGGATGTGTCAGCTTGTCATGGTTCTTCTCTGGGATGGCCTTCTGTTGCCAGTGTCTCGTGTGGTGTTGGTTTTGGAGAAGCTGTAGCGTTCATTACTGTTCAAGCTTTTGTAGTGTAAGTTAAAGCCTGAGCAGGCTCTATTTGCTCAGTCTAATACATGTCCTATGAAGATGTGTGCTAAGTGCTAAGTGTGCTAACAGGAGCTCATTCATCTATAGGAGGGCTGTTTAACATAGTTTCCTTTCCCTTTTTCTTTTTCTTTTTCTTTTTTTTTTTTTGTTGGTTTTTCTAGATAAGGTTTCTCTGTGTAACAGTACTGTTATATAGTCTTGGCTATCTTGTAACTCTCTTTATAGACCAGGCTGACCTCAAACTCACAAAGATCCACCTGCCTCTGCCTCCTGAGTTCTGGATAAAAAGTGTGGACCACTGTCACACAGCTTTTTTCCATTTTCTGTATGTGATCCATGACAGGTATGGCAGGGGAACTATGAAATACCCACACCGGCCGAAAATAAAAAAGCCAGGAGCCCAATCACTATTTTATACAAATCTACCTTGGGTCTTCATCAGCTTATAAAAGTCTTGTAAGACCAGCGGGCGTTCATATCTGCTCTTCTGTAAGAAGTGTGTGATGGTTGGTAAAACTCAATAGGACAACAAGTCTTGTTAGCCACCACTGCTCACAATTTATAGCAAAAATCTAGAGCATAAGAGAGAGACTAATATTTGAGATACAGTTCTTGCTGGAAAGTAAATGCTGCTCACCACAGTTGTTCTCTGGCCACAAGTTTTTCCTATTTGAAAATTAATAATTAACCTTTTATTTTCTGTCTTCAGCAAACCTTACACATGCACACACGCTTTGCCAAAATATTTCTTCCTTGCTTTGAAGCCATACTGAGAAAATGAGGAGTTTTAAATATTCTCCTTATGCACTTATGCAGAGCTCTGAGAACAGCTTGTCTGTTGAGGGAGTGATGGGATATTCTTTTCTGTTGGATTTGTGGTTTAATGGCAGCTGCTTTCAAGTCTTTAAAAAAGTGAAGTTGATAGAGAACTCAGCACCAGTACCCGCATCCTGCACCCTCAGCAATACTCTGGGGTGAAGGTGGAGCTTGGAGACTGGCTAAGTTCTGAGTAATCTCACCTGGTATTCCAGGGTGCTAATGTGCGTTTCTGGACTTCTTGGCATTTTCCTAATATACTTCATGTAATGGTGTCTCTAAGGTTGGCTCACAAGTGGTCAGTGTTTGAAAGACCTCTGGACTAGATCTACGGCCTTGTCCTTGCCACCATTTCCCCAGCATCCATTGGTCTACATTCTCTCAACTGGGGAGGAGGGAGCTGTGTCGCATTTTCAGTTTGGAAAAGAGGAATCGTTTTGAGAAATTGTGTTAGACTAAGAAGACATGGTTCATGACACTGGCTTTAGGACCCGGAAAGGGGACTTCTCTTTCCTAAGCCTCATTTTGTTGCTCCCGTTGGGTGGGGCTGTGCCTGTTCGTCAGTGTGAGGGAAGATTAGCAGAGCACATGTAGAGGGACAATGTTTACCCGTAGTTGCAGAAAATATCTTAAGTGAGTCTCTGATCAAGCTCAGCAGCATGTTCTTTTTTGTGGATCTTACTATAATTTTGTGAGGGGCTGAATATGAGCCACGTTGCTTCTTGTGGATGCTGAGTCAGCTTGTACTTGAGATGGCAGTCATCATTTGTGAGCGGCTGTCAGAGAAATGTCTCCGTCAGTCCTGCCACTGTGCAGTTCTGTTCTCTGTAGTCTAGATGGGGAGGGCGCGGTCTTCAAAAGAGGAGCCTCAGCCTTAGTCAGATGTGTCTTTGTGCTTCCTACAGATGGATGACAATCTCCGCCAGAGCCCTCAGCTTCTTCCTCGGAAGCTGCCAACACTCAAGCTGACTCCAGCAGAAGACGAGAGTGATTCCTTACAGCGGCTGTCACCCTGACAGTCACAGCCTGTTGCAGCCAAAGTCTTAGGATTGTTTGCAGTAGTCGCTTATACTGAGTGCACGGAGACCAAAAGAAAACTGCCGTAATAGGTAGAAGGAAGACTGTGAAACAGAAGGAGCTGAACGTGACTTTCTTTTTAAACTAGAGAAGCTTTTATTTCATCTTGGCAGTGCATTTTGAATGCTAAGCAAACTGGGTGGGTGGGTGGGGCAAATACATGGTACTGTATATAAAAAACTGCCTTCATCATGGCAGACCTTTGCCTTTGGTTCAGGTGTTGCTGATGAAAACCTGCAATTCTGTTCTGAATGTGCATTTTTAATTTATTTAAGTTAATTTATTAACTTATTTTTCTTAGTCCTGTCTTAATACTTAATATGTGGCTTTTTGGCTGAGATCTTAATCTTCTTTTTAGAAGTCTGATGCCTATTTCAGGAACTAGGAAAAATAGAAATTATTTCAATAGAAAAGCCTGACTTTAACTTTGAAAAGCAGCAAGGAATGTGCTTCTTAATTATTCTCTTGTAAGTGATCCTCTTTGGTCGTTTAATGCCCCATATGCAGATGTTGAGGCGGTTATGTAATACACATCTGATAGCACGTTGGTATGAATAAGTACTTCTGGTATGTCTGCTCTAAGCTAGCAGAGACGAATGTGGCAGGCAGCTTAAACCTGTGTATTTTAGTACACCATTGCCTACTGTCTCAGTCTTGTGTCAGTTCTGGAGCTGGACGTCTAGCTCATCTTGTATTTAGCTGAAATCTTTAGTGAAGTGTGCTCAGTTGGGGTGAGCTATTTTGAGGGTCCTGGGGACACCTCCCATGTGTCTGGTCTGAGTGCTCCATACTTGACTCAAAACAGTTTGTTTCATAGTGAGTGTATCTTGTACCCACACACTTTCTGACAAACTTATTATTTCCTGTATATTTTTAAGTACATTTTCAGGATCCAAAGGAATAAGTCAAAAATAGCAAATTTCTAGGGTAATTTATATTTATCGGTGGCTTAATGAACTGTTTAAGATTTATTGAGTGTGGTAATTTTACATATAATAGAAACATGCTTATTTTAGTGGCTGAGGTGCTTCTGTTGTTATAAAACCACTTCTGAGATTTTTAAAATACAAGACTGTGTTTTGGGTTAGTGTCTTACAGGATTACCATGGTGCTCAGCGAAAGCTTACCGGAGTCTGCAGAAACCAGGCTGCGTTGTCTCGAGACTCAGCTGCTGTGAACAGAGCTTGGCTGCGTCTGGCTTGCAGCACCCTGGTTTGCTCTGTGTCTCGGTAGATGAAAGCTTTAAATGAGACACAAGGTAGTCTTCACAGTCTTGTTCATCTCTTTGGGCGCATTTAGGTCAGGTACACAGTGAGTTTCACAATACTTCTGTAACAAAGGCTGTGTATATGAGTGAGTGAGTGTGTAATGTGAGTGTGTACATGTGAGTGAGTGTGGGGGAGTATGTGTGTGGTGTGTATATTGCTCATCTTTCTCATCTTAGGCAAATCACAACCATATGAAATCTGAGTGTTTTGGTTTGAAAGTCATGATCAAGAGGCTCCGTTGTCTCTCAGACTGATCTGTATTGGTTAGTACATTAATCAGACTCTGTTTATACTTTAATCAGGGCTAGTCATTTTCAATTGTGATTTAATAGTAAACCTTCCAAAAAGTATTTGAAGTAGTTTACAGTGGTAAAACACATGTAGAAATAGGACAGTTATTTTTGAAAAATAACAATTTCTAAGAGAAAGAACCATATCAACACTACTAGGCTGTAAAGTCAAGTGTGAAATCTAACTCTGTGGGTAAAGCTAGAAGACAATACTGAGTGAAATTCTTCTAATAAGGCTGCTGATGTCTAGATTAAATGTGTAAAACAGCAGCTCTCAACCTGTGGGGTCGCATATCAGATATGCTGCTCATCAATATTTATGATTTACAATAGTAGCAAAATTCATTATGAAGTAGCAGCAAAAGTAATTTTATGGTTGGGGTCACCACAACATGAGGACTGTATTGAAGGGTCTCAGCATCAGGAAGCTGAGAACCGATGTAGAAGAACACAGCAGGTCATGTTCAGAAGACACTAGAGGTCAGCCAAGAAGTGTACGGTAATATTTTGTGCAGGAAACCCTGACTGAAAGGAGCTCATTGTAGAATCACAGGCATTTGCCCTTTTCAGTGGTGAGGATGACGGCTCGGAACTGCCTTTAGCCTACATTTGGTAGTAGCTTGAAGTCCACATTTCTGAGATGCAGAACCAGGGTTGGGTAAGTAAGAACTTAAGTGCTGCATTACTTAGTTCAGCTTTGTTTGTCTAACAAGGGAGATGAGAGAAGACTGACCGAGCACAGGATGCTTTAGAGACAAGCGCACAGAGAAGCTTTTAAGTGGGAAATGACTTCTTAGACTGGACAAAGGGCCCATGGTCACCCTGTCAGGATGTTTGTGTTTGAAGCTTGAGTTTGCTGGGAAAAGTGGTCCATGGCCTTGACCAAATACTGTGAGGCATTGTCTTTTGGAGGTGATGGTAGAGGACAGTCTGAGAACAGGGACTCTGCTCATTTTTGTTTTTGTTGATAGTACAGAGCTAGAAAACTTGGTGTGCTAATTCCCACAAGGGAATAATCCTGAATGAGCACCGTGTCGCAGTGATGACCTAATGCTAAGGGCATTGCAGGCAAGGAAGATGGGAGGTCTTGGAACTTTGACCTCATAAAAGCTTCACATTGCTAGCAAGTTTCAGTTGGAGTGTGTATGAGTTGTTTCAGGGTACTAGAGGACCCCTGGTGGTTTTTTTTAAAGCAATCACTTTTATTTCTACTTGTAATCTTTAACAATTTACCATTGATAAATAGAGTAACACTTAGGAACAGAGGCATAGATGTTAGAGCTAAGTTAAATATCTTCAAAGTCTCAAAATGGGGGAACTAACATCAACAGAGGCAAAAACTGGTAATGAATATTTTAAGAAAACCACTTTGTTCAGGTAGCTTTGTGTAATAAAGTGGGATTTGGATTGGATAGTGTTTCTTAGAGCCTCTTTCAAGCATATGCACCTAACAAGCTTGTTAAAAATAATTTTTGATGGAGTAGGTCAGTTTTTTGACAGCCAGAACCATAACTACCCAAAGCCAGAAGATAAATGTTGAAGTATGGGCAGGGCTGACAAGGTGGCTCAGTAGTTAAGAGAACTTGCTACTCTTGCTGAGGACTGAGTTCAGTGTCCAGGACCTATGGCCGGTGGTTACTGCCTAAACTGTAGCCCCAGGGGATCTGGTGCCCCCTTCTGGAATCCATGAGCTCCTGCACTCATATGTACGTATACTCCCATACACATAATTAACACTAAAATAAATTAAATATACATAGAAAGCTGAATGATAGGGCCATGGGCAGCTCACTGCTATTTTTGTAATGCCTTAAGAGTCTATAATTATTTCAAAATAAGAGGGATTTTAAAAGCCAATTTAATAGAGTTAAGTTTGTCACTATCTATATAGCCATGTCCTAAATTCTAACACTGAAGACATAGTATGTAGTACCAAATGAGAACTACATTTTATCTTACTGAAATTTTTACTTTATTCTTGAGTTTAAAGAAAAAGCAGCTGGGGTTTCTAACAAATCATTCTCTGAAGCTCTCCTCCACCATACCAAGAAAGTTTTGCTAAGAACTTTGCACCAAAAAGTTATTGTCCATAAAATATCAAAATGCTTATGATTTTATGTTTTCTAGTTTGTGTATTTTCCTCTACAGCAGCTGGGTTCATATTCAAGGACAAAATATATTGAAGCCTTTTTCTGTCTTGGTGTGGTCATTCGTTTTTACCTTGTATTTTTCTCTCTCTGTATTCACAGTGTGGCACTGTGCTCACTGATGCCACCTTCTGTTGTGGAAGTGTGACGTAGCCGTGCACTTCTGTTGTGGAAGTGTGACGTAGCCGTGCACTTCTGTTGTGGAAGTGTGACGTAGCTGTGCACTTCTGCTATCCAGCCAAGGGATGTAATTGATTGTATCTTGTGGTTATTATCAGAGTTAATCCTGAGCATAACCACAGCGTACATTTGGGTTGTGATGATTGCTCTTTGTGTATTTTCTTGGTGGTTAAATGAGAGAGAGAGAGATGTATGTTTATTTCCCCACCCTGTTTTTGCTGTTGTTGTTCAGTTATGCGAGGTTTACATTTATTTCTTAGTGCTTACATATTTCTTAAACAAATTTTAAAAAAATCTGAGGTTATGCAAGATTGTAGCTTAGTGGTTTCACCCTGAAAGGTTTTATTGAAGCATCATTGGAGTTCAGGATGCTGGTTTGCATGCTGAGGTAAGCTGGGAAGAGCTTTGGTTTTAGTTTTTAAGTGTTTATAAAGCAGTTTCGTGTAGAAGTTGCTGTTGGGTGCCGTAGTCTCTAGGAGCCCAGGCTGCTTGTCGTGCAGTCAGGACTGTCGTGACAGAAGCAAATGGGAACTCTGGAAGTTAAAAAGACTTAAAAAATGTTTTATCCCCCAGAAAAAAATATTCCATGGATTACTTAAAAGGATTGACGTTCTTGACCAATGATATAATAAAAAGGAAACTTGTGTTGATTGCTCATGAATAGTGAGGGGTATGTTGTGGTAGAATCTAACTCAAACAGAATAAAGTAGTTTTTTTAAAAGGAAAAAAAGACTGACTGTTTTGTGCCTCATTACTATTAATTTGAAATTATAAGGTAAAAACATTTAGTTTATGCGAGAGTAGTTTCTAAAAGGGTATTTGGCAGAATATATTGTTCTAATAAGTTTGGAAAATTCTGGATTAGGCAAAGCTGAGTTGCTGTAGGCTTTTCAGAACCTTTGATGTGCAAATGTGTGGCTTGGTTTCCAGCTTCAGAGATGTTTTATTTTATTAGCAGAAAGGGCAGTCTGAACAAGGC